AAAAAAAAAAAAAAAAAAGTTACCTCAGCTGCTCTAGTATCAAAAGCTGCTAATGCTTGTGGGCGAAAATCAACAGCATTTGCTACAGGATTACCAGCGAGATCTAAGATTTCCAAGCATGGAAGAGCCCCAAGATACCCAACCTCAGCAACTGAAGCAATTTTGTTGTGAGTCAGGTCTAGCTCAACTACAGAGTAAAGTCGAGCAAATCCTTCAGAAAAAAAAATTTATAATATTAATTTTACTTCAATAGAAACAAACAACAAAACAATTAGACTTGTTTTTATACCATTTAATAATCTATGGAAATAAAAAAAGGGGAGGGAGAAACTAATACCTTAAAACTAATATTTGGTGATAAGCAATGATCATCTGTTTTCATATACAATTCTCTTAAAAACACTAATTTAAATATTTTACCTTAGGGTCTAATAGATATATGCCATAAAAACAAATGGTTCAATCACCAATTATTTCAAACAACTTTTTTTTTATGTTAATCTCTATCTTAAATTTCTTTTTTACAGACCAACCCTACTGGCTTTCTACTACAGGGTTCCTGCAGATTAGGGGCTTGGAAAAATAATGACTTTCAAGAACCATAATTACTGACTTTTTAATGAAATAGGCAGAAGTACTTTATCACAATAAAGTTATTTTCCGAAAGCGTGCGCATATGTCTGTCATTTTGAAGTAATGAACATGCTAAGTTTTCCACCTAAATAAACATGGCAGACAGTAGCAGCATTTGCGAGCTTGAAATTAAATACAGGCCTAAAAACACCAAAGGAAAGATGCAACAAGTAGTTACATTTATTGTAAGAGTTTCTATATCACAAAGGATTACATTTCACAAGTAAATTAACCCTCCCACGATGGGGAGGTCAAACTGCGCATGTCACAATGTTTTAGTAAATTTTATAGAGTTGTGTAAACATTTGTTTAACAACAAGTAAAAGCTTGGAATGGTCTATTCTTTCATTGTGGGTGTGTCTGTGTCCAAGGTCACTGATGAGGAGTGGAATTCTCTGAAACTAGTGTGGCTCACAGACACACCCCCAATGAA